AAATTAACCGTTCTACCGATTGAGTAACTTAAAAAGGAAAAAAAAAATCTATCCGAAGGCACTGAAGAACAAACTAAAGCAGGCAAGAAACGGACAGGATTTGATGACTGCGAGATCTCACTGGGGGCGATCCATGTTTATACCTTTCCCCCTGAGGACACACCCTAGTCTGAAAACTGCAGTATCACTGGTTTGAGGCGTGAGAGGATGGAGCTTAGGGCTGCAAGAGTAGCTATAGATTAAGAAGGGAAATCCCAGAAAGGAGGAGTCACAGAGGAGGAACCCCTAGATCTGTGTGTGAGTCCTCGGCTGACTTCCGAGCCGCATATAAGCAAGGGAGAGCCCAGTGGAAGCAAGACTTGGAAGTCTGAAAGGCAAGCAGGGGTCTCTTCTGTTTATCACCGGGGATCAAAATTTGGGATTTGAGTACTTCCAAGTAAAGTGTTTGGAAAACACTGCACTAAGAAAGAAATCCCAGCATCCATAAGTTCAAGGTGATCGGCCCGTAGATTAACTGCTTTCCACTATTGTGAGAATAAAATGAAGGCAGTCATCCAGGCTAATGATGGGCACTCATTATAGAAGCTTAAAAATATTATTCAGTTCTATTATTTCAAGAAGACTGTCATGAAGTGTAGGATTGGGTGTGTGCTGCACAGGGTGGAATGGCTGCTAGCACAAAGTGAGTGAAAAAAAATGTACTAGTACCCAGTTTAGAATAAGAGAATGTGTTACACAGGCACAACAAATTCTAAAATATTATTTAAAAACAAGTTTATTTACAAGCAAAATAAAACCATGATATTTGGACAAATTTTTTAAAAAGGAAAAAAAACCTGTCTTTTATTTTTATAAAGAATAGGCTTACTTAAAAATCAGTTTTAAAAGACATGAACCCATAATATTATTTGAGAAGTCAAAAACCTCTCCATTTTACAGAATACCTTAAAGAATACAAAACATTAAAGTACCTAAAACATATATTTATAGATTTAAAAAAATTAAGCTTTTTCAGTCAAAATTAAAAAAAAATCCAAAGTATGCCATATTTAATCAACAGTTTGCTTCCAAATAGAAGTTTCCTTGGAGAAACTAAGTATCAATTTTCAAACAACTGTGCTCCTCCATCTGGTGGCTGCAATCATTCTAATTAAAATACAGGTCTTTATTTCAATGTAAATTAACCTGTCTAAAGACTCCGCTCCTGGGTTGTTTCCTTTTTTTCTCCCTTAAATTCTTAAATACGCATGCATATCACATTGCGGCACCATCACAGAACAGAAAGGGAAGACACAGTGGCAGAGGCAAAACGACCTGCCTCTCGAACAGCCGAAATTAGCGTGGGCCTCATTTTCCTCGTCTATAAGACAGTATAACCACAGTCACCAGGGTTATTTTTCTTTCTAAAACACTACAAACTTGTAGGTAGACTTTGTGCCCTTCCTCCCACTTCCCCCACCCCCACCCACTGAGAGTAGTGAACATGGATTCTGGAGTTTGAATCCCAGCTCAGCCGGCTTACTTTGTTATCTTGGGCAAAATACTCAGTTCCCTCACGTGCAGGGTGGAAATACGAACAGTACTAGTCCCACAGAGTTACTGTGAGGGGCACATAAGACAACACGGGTAAAACACCTAGAACAGTGATCAACATGATGCTCTATGAGTTTTCAAATTTGTCATCATCATAACTCACTGCTTTTGGGAAAAGACCTTGATTTACTGCCACTAAGCCACGGAGAAAAGAATGTCACGTGGGAAGATACATTAGGTTAAATCACCTAATACGTGAGGACAAAACACATGATTTTTTAAAACATTTACCTTAGCTTCATACAATTCAGGAAACAGCTTAAAAACCATTATAATAAACAGACATGAATGCTATAAAATACTTTGTGGATCAAAACTTAAAACTAAAAAAATGTTAACTGAGACAGTAAGAAAGTTTAAGTACAAAAACACCTAGAAATATAGCACAGTAGCACCACCTAGTGGGCACTGCGTTAAAAACCTTACAGCTAGGGCTTGCCCGGTGGATCCACAGGGGAAAAGCACATGCACATTCTCTTCACTAATGTAAAAGGAATCACAAAATAAAAAACCAATTAAATACTTTAATAGCAGTAGTCTCTAACACTATATAGCTTAAAATATCTCCTACTAAGTCTGTACCTCCAATTTGTTTCTGAAACAAGGGAACAGAGTTCAAAGTACTTTTTATTCAGAAATTTAAAATGTATCAAAGTCACTATGCAAGTCGCCAGGAATACTTCACCATGACTCAGCAATTCATGTACAAAATATCAGCCATAACAAGCTTAGGAATGTCAAGTCACAGGGTTGCAAGCTATCTTAAAAAGCCATTTTACTCTCCCTACTTGCTGTATGAATCCCTTCTGTAGCACGCCTGATAAATAGAATCTTGCCTCCAGTGAGCAGGTGAACTTACTTTTCTCTGGGTCCATTCCACTGTAGAAAAATAAACAATTAGAAAATGTATGCTTTTCATGAGTTTAAATCTGTTGGCCCTTGATCTGCAGGTGTGAATAGTCCGATCCTTCCAAATAATTATTCCTCAACTCTGAGATGTTACCAAGTTAAGGGATCTCTGCTTTTCCAAGTTAAACATCCTATATAGTCTTCTAGCCATTTCTCTTCAACAGAACTATAAACACTCATCATCTGCTCACTCTCCTCTAAACAGTTTCTAGCATTTCTAAAAGTGACTACATCCAATATAAAAAATAACATGCCTAAAAGTGACTACATCCAATATAAAAAATAACGTGCCAAGAATGGTCCGGCTAAGGCAAAGTGAAGGCAGATTATCACCTCTCTCTGCACACCCTACTGCTCTATATGAAGAACTTCCATGCCGAGGCAGAGTAGCAGTCAAAGACTCACTGGCTTGGAGGTCAGACCGCATTCTTAAGGAGCTGACTGCAGGCAAGTTACCAGATCAGCCTGACTTGGTTTCCTCCAGCAGTCAAACAGAAACCAACTTCTCCCTAACAGGAACACGAGTAAGATCAAACGAGACAGTGTTTGTAAAGCAGTCTGTGCAGTGCCTACAGCTCTGTAGGAGCTAAGTAAATAAGAGCGATTTTTGTTACTATTACTTTCCATCTCTCTCCCTCGTTTTGTATGTGCCCCATGTACACATATACGGTTCAACTGAACTGAATCAACCTAAGTTTCAGTCATTGTGAAAAATCAATGCAATGTGTAGTATTTCTCTCATCAGAAAAATACCTTCTCTATTTTGGGCTGATGGTGATGCAGAGCTCAAATTAAATTAATCAAATACTCTTTTTTAAAAAGCATGATTATAAAGATACTATTGGATTACTCTCTGACAAAATTTCTTATCCTAGAAATAATTTCCAAATAGTAAATACTTAAGTGTTGGATTCACAGATACATGTCAAAAATGTGTCTTCGGTCTATCCATTTTTATAATTTTCTTAGCTATGCAGGTTTTATTATATTGGAAATATTTGTCTTTTTGTCAATATTTAAATATGTTAAAAAGTACCCTAAATAACAGTTACCTCTAAATTAGTAAAATGCAGCCTGAGACAACATGAAATATTTGTAATTGGTTGTAATTTGCCTTTTCCCCTAAAACTGTGTTAATGATCAAGAATTCTGCTGCTCTTACAATTTAATGGTTGGCAGTTAATTATTTTTCTTATTTTAAATAAACAGCAAAAGTTTTGAAATCATATTCTATTATAAAAACAACACATATTTTCAAGTAAATACCTATGTAATTATCAAACACCACATTAAATAAAATTTTTTAAAAGTAGTTCAGGAGACTTAAGATGAAAAAGGGTTAGAATGGCTCTCATTACCAAACAGGTCATTTATTTCCTGAAATTAGCTTATGGTCATGTATCATACTTTTACTAGGATATTCACTTCATTCTGTACTCAAAAACTTCATTCAGCATTCATCCACTCAATATTTATTATATAATAATAAATTTACGTATGTATGGCAGGGGCTGAATTGTTTTTTGAAATAAGGTTAGGTGCCAGGCACTGACTTACAACAAATACTATTCTCATTTGAAGTGAGGACCAAAGATTAAACCACGTGCCTTATTGACTCCCAAACCACAGTAAAATAACGAATTCCTAACTCCCATGTTAAATGCTTTTTCTACAGCCCACTGTCCTAAGTTGTACTTACATTTTCATTAGAAAAAATGTTTTCATATTATTTGCATGATGTTACTTTCTTGTTTCACTTTTTAATGAAATTCTAATTGTTTTAAAGATAATAAATGCTCTCTAATCTAATGAACATGGATTTCTTTATAGAAATATTTTACTTAAAAGAGAGTCTAAAAAAAATAGTCCACCACTTAGAGGGTATAAATAAAAACTGAGGCTCTCTTTTCTTCTCCACACCTGGTCTTCAGACAATTATACAGAAAAAAAATTGTCAAGCCCAGTGGTGGTTAAACTCAAACTAGAAGTACACTGCAGTAAGCTATTTATTTATTAGAAATATACGGCATTAAGCTATTTTTATTAGATACTTTATGACAGGCTAAGCACATTCCAGAAATAACTTTAAGAGGAGGAGGAAGAGGTCAGACAGCTAACACCATTTCTCTTGCCAAAAGGACATGCTATGCTTAAACCCAGGAATGAGTGTATTTCCAAAATAAATTAAATATATAGATGTATAGAAAAGATTTATAGGTATCCGCTAAAAGAAAATACAAACAATTGTGAAGAAACAGTATATCAGAACCTTACTAATGCCATCTAACACTTTATATGTATACAATACTCTACATCTACAACAGTAATACTCTATCTATACAATTTCATATAAGGTAGAAAAATTTCAGAAAGATGTATTATTGGGCCTAAAAAATGTATGGACCAAATATTTTTATCATATTCTTTAGAATAATCCCACTTACAGGGTTTAAGAACAATAATTGTAAGGGCTCACAGGCTCCCCAGCCTGTAAACACTTTTTTTTTTTTTGACAAAGAATTACCTTGTAATCAAGAAGCTCAGTCAAGTCTAATATCAAAAATATCTATTTGGTAACTCCTGAAAAATGTTCAAAACACACATAACTTCAGGATGTTTCTAAAAGCAACACTGTACAGCACCTTTTAATTCACAGAATTCCAAAAGATCCCTTTAAAGACAGGGACTCCACCCTTCAAACTTAACAGGAACAATGATTCCCTCAGTCCACGGGGTGGGACAGCCTCCTCGTTCTTGCCAGACTCGGTCAGAGAGAAAAAGTTTTCATCCCAAAAATATGCCTAAAAATAAAAGCCTTGCACCAAGAGTATCAGATAAGAAAGTTGTTTTTCCTAACTTACACATTTTGGGGAGAATTTTGACTTCCTGGAACTCCTGTCTCCCATTATAAAATCATAATTTGTCTGAGCGTGCTTTCTTGTCTTATTTAAAAAGTTTAGGTAGAAATATCCATCGTACAGTCACTGTTATTATTAAAAAATCAATCAATCTGCTTTCTGAGCACTAAATAGAGCACAACTTGGCCCCACATAGTTTATACAATAAAAGATTTTGTATTTATTACTCAAGACTACACTTGTAATTTTCACCTGCACACAATTTTATATTTGCAAATGGAGAGTGTTTTCCAAATCCACTCATTGTGTAAAACCCAAAGAAAGCATAATTCAACACTGAAGACAGTTCACACAGTGATTAAAAAGTTTACCAACATAAAACTGGATTAAAAGATAAATTCTACTCACAGTTCTAAGTTTACATGTCAAAGTTAACATATCCAAATAATACTTTGCTGTAATAGGATGAAAACGCAAAGAATGTACTCAAAACAGCAGACACGGAATCCAAAACCGACCCCCCCAAACCCCTAACCTAGAAAATAAGACTAGATCAAATAATTTCTAAACTTCCCTTAAATTCGAACTATTTTTGGATCATGGAATCAAGTATCAGTTATTTTTAGTTTTGCAACTATGTGACCTTGGAAGTCACTTGTTTTTAACCTCTCAGAAAAGATACAATTTTATTTAAAATATCTCAGCAAAGAAACTCTTTCCTACACATTTTATGAGTTTTATCATAAAAATCTACTTTGGTAACTCTGGTGGGTTGAAAAGTGCCCCCCAAAAGACAGGTATACTCGGAATCTGAACATATGACCTCATATGGCAAAGAGAGTCTTTGCAGATATTATTAAGTTAAAGCTCTGGACACGCGGTCATCCTGGATCAGGGTGGGCCCTAAATCCAAAGACACTGTCCTTGTAAGAGAAGGAAGACAGAGAGGAAGGCATGTGAAGACAGAGGCAGGGACGGGGGTGACGCACCTGTAAACCGAGGACCACCAAGCATTTCCGACACCGGAAGGCAGGAGAGCACGGGATGGGTTACCTTTCAGAGCCTCCAGGAGTCACTAACACTGCTGACATCTTAATTTTAGACTTCTGGCCTCCAGAACGGTGACAGACATTTTTTTAAGCCACCAAATACGTGGTAATCTGTAATGGCCATGGCAGCCATAGGAAACTAATACAGTGATGTATTTCAGGAAGCAAATCCCCTTTAAAAAGTGTTATCATCAACACAACTTATCTTTGGCTATCATATTTTCACATTAGGAACAGTGAGAGGACTTCCATCATTCCTAGATTTTTAACAAAAATCAGCAACTTGATTTCTAGATAAACACAGAAGAGCCTCTAATTTTATAACATGCACTATCTATGTGAGTCTGTTTTGCCTTACACTTAAAATTATATTCATTAAAATATTAAACAACTTTTCAGTCAAGACTATTATCTCATCATCTGTAAATATTTTTCAAAGGCTTTGCTACTTCTTTTGGAAGAGAATGAATAAGTTCCAGCACCACAAAGCACACCCAGGTTTCTTAAATTTGGTGTAAAAAGCTTCCAAGCTTTTTGAGTGGCCAAGAGTATCAAAGAAATACCATGAGATAGCTGCAAATAATTTTATTTTCCCATCATTTTTCAGGCTTATGGAGCATGTCTTAAAACTTTTCTGTTTTTTATCACTTCACTGCCTTAGATTTTATATATATATGCATATATATATATATACACACACACATATATATGTGTATATACATATATTTAAAATGTTTGATATTTAAAACATTAAAAAAAGTCTTATGATCTGAGGCTCACCATGGTGCCCAAAAGAAATTCCAAAATTTCTACTTACTCAATTTTCATTATGAAAATAGTCTAAATAATAAGTCTATTTCTGGAGCTCCAGATAACCCTGCTATTACCACATGAACCTCTGAGTGTCCGGACTGTTTGGCCACTGAAAAGTCTTGTGCAGGAAGATGTAAAAAGTCAGGAAATTGACGACTACATAGCAGCCCAGCTCACAGACAAGCCTGGATGTGGGCGGCAGGGGTATGTTAAGTCTATAAATGACATAAGGTAAAATGAAGTAACGAAATTCTAGCAATTTCTGAGGTACTGTAACAGCAAATAAGCACACAAAAAACATTAAATTCCAGAAAATGGGCTTTGACTTCAGTGAGTCCGCTATGCTCCAACCAGCAAATATGTAGAGTGGAACTAACAAATATCTCACAATTTCGTGTCTTTGGAAAACTCTCTTCCACACGTAGAAGGTGTAATGTCTGTTGTCTGCTAGCAAGTACTTATGAGCATAAGTAAATCTCCAAACTAAAAATATGGAGACTAAAGTCACTGCAAAAAACTGAAGTTTCCGTTTCCACACCAAGCAGAGAAAAGCCCTGATCTTGCTAAGAGACAAGAGGTGAGGAAAGGAAAAAAAGAGAGTAAAAGAGCAAAAGTAGAACAGCTGGGGAAAGTGCAGACAGGCTTCATGGCTGCTCCTGTCGCCAATCACCACCCCGCCGTTGACGGCCACAAAGGCGCAGAAGAGCAGCGCGAGGAGGCCGTAGGGCCAGGTCAGGAGCAAGAGCGCACTCAGGTTCTTAAACGACATGGAGTACGCCAGCAGAAAGCGAAGGATTTTCCTGAATTCTGAAAACGGTCCTCTAACAGGGGGGAGCCTCTCTTCCTTCTTCTTCTGCAGCTCAGTTTTCCAGGCTTCTGTTAACTTCTGTGCGATGACATTTCCGGCGCAGAAGACAGCCCAGATGATGTTTGTTTGACGAAACATGAAGCCACAAAATCCAAGCAAGGCTGAAGTTTTATGATTTCCATAAAGACACATCAAGTAGGCAAAAAGAGTGAAAAACATGGATCCTGCTTCTGTATAATAAAGGAAGTTAAAAAAATAGAGCGTGGGAAATATTGCTAACGTTACTGTGGACAAGATTCTCTGGACACTTGAGGCGGCCTACGAGGAAGAGAAAACACAGTTCACAATAAACAGGCTACTTCTGCTCAGCTAGAGAAGACATTTACTACATAAAAAAAAAGGCCTGAATCTTACTTACTTAAATAAAATTATTCAATATTAATCTAATTTCTGACATTGCAGAAACACAGTATGTATTTATGAGAGCACTTTCTGATACTTTTTAGCTCGGAAGCCAATAAAACATTGCACGTCTCTGTCAAAGCTTCTACGGCCTAAAATACTTGGAGTCGTTCAACAAGTAGTTAAGGAGTGACACTGTTCACGACACTGAACGCAATTCTACGGGGAACACGGGCGTGAATGGGACACAGTGTGGGTGGTTCCATTTCGGTGAGCTTACGTCCTAGTGCCGTCCATAAGCATTCACTGGGCCACCACCACCAATTTCTTTTAAAGATATTCCTTCAAAACTGCACCAGAGAGAA